CCCTCCTTGTAGTTGTCGATCGGTCGAAGTTTGGGCCTCTCCGGCGTGCCCTGCTCGATGACGAACCTTCTCGAACAGACGAACTCCTCCACTCCAAGGTGCTTTTTCACTTCGTCCTCATCGTAGAACGGCCCTGTGAGAAAGCCGTCGTCCCGGTCCTTTAGAGTGCAATCCCAGAGTTGCCAGGTCGCCTCCGGATCTTTCTCGTGCGGATCACGGCCCTTGAGCCTCTCTCTGCGCCAGCGAGCTGATTCAAGGAGAAGCTCAGGTGTGGATGTAGCCGGCGATTCCTTGGTTTCAAACAAGGGTGATTTGTCTGGCTTGCCCACCAAATCGACGCCCATCATCAAGTCGAAGACTCCTTCATCAGGAAATTTGGTCTCCTTCAGCAATTGTGCCCATAGCAGAAGGTTCTTTCCCTTGATGACTTCGCGAGTGTGGTCAGGCAGGGTTGAATGCAGTCGCGCCTCCTCGTAGCGAAGTTCTTTCTCCATCTGGTTGAGCCTGTTGTAAAGTCTGAGCCTCTCTTCAGCAAAAGCAGATGGTCCTTCGGTCAGCCGTCGGAAGATGTTCCTTTTGACGGCATCTGGGACACAGTGCTGGGTGTCAATGGGATGGCTGAGCTTTAGGGCACAATCGATGAACTCGGTAGGCGTTCTGTACACCCCGAACCTCCCGGAACCACCCCCTAAACCCGAGGTAAACTCCTTAAAGGGCCTATCTAGGGGAGCCTCGGTGCGAAACTCGAGGAACTCCGGGATTAGCTTGTGGCTCCCACGTGGCTGGGGCCAGACAGCGCGTGGACCTGCCGGCGGTTCCAAGCAGGATGGCAAACCGGCTGTCGCGGCCAGCAGTTGCGACACCTCCTGGCACAGTTGAGGCGGATATTCCGCCTCTTCAGCGGTACTGAACCTCCACTGTCGGCCGGTCTGATAGACCAGGTAGGGATCATGTTGATGCTGATTGTCGCACTCTACAGCCATGCTAGACAAGCGAGAATCACTGCACCGAAAGCGACTGTGCTTGGGTCTGCGACCGCCTTTCATGCAATTATGGAAGCGCACATCTATCATGCGGCGCCACCTCTCAAGTAGGGCAGGGTCTCGAGATTGTTGCACGAAGTACGCAAGCACTCCCCAAATCCAGGAATTATTGGGGTTCTCGATGCTTAAAAAGGTGGATGAAGGTAGGGCCCTAACGAGCTCCACAACGAAACGACACAATTCGTTAGCCTTGCGAACCCTTGCTTTGTCGGAGTCCGACAGGTTGGGGAGGCCCAAAATGTGATCGTTATCCCTCAACGGGACAGGTTCAGGAGCACCTGCCAATCTCGCCTTCTTGCTGATGGGCCTTTCTCGGGCTCGGCTACCCGTGCCACAGGGCAAGGCAATGTGAATGGCGAATGGTGGATGTAACAAGAGCCTGTCCAGGAGCTGTTTTTGACACGTGGTTTCCGTAAGGTCCAGCACAAGAAGCGGGTGTTCAGGTACGTGACGGTTCCAAGGAGAGTCAATCGCTAAAACGTCAAACCCCAAAGCCTGGCAATGCTTGGAAAGCCGTGCGCAGCCTGCGAAGATCTCGACGAAGAGAGGCTTGCAGGAGTCGGCGACAGCAAGGGGGGGCTTAACGGGCTCGGGATTAGTCTTAGGGATGGGCCTTGGACCCGCGGGGGGCAAGGGAAACTCTAGGTCCTCAAGGAAAGTTCGCGTCTCCTGAGGCATGCAATCGGCTCCTTGGGCCGTGTAGCCCACCAGAACACTGCGCTCGCCCTGCCAGGCCAAAGTGGCGTGTCGGCGGTTCGGCGCATCAAGATAGCAAAGCCCCTGGGACACCGGCAGTGAATCTCCCCAGAGAATCTCGCCCTGGTGTTCGAAAGGAACCTTTCCCTGGGGAGACTCGATCCAGACATCTCCGGCAGAAAATTTGGACAGCGGATAAAGAAGGTTGCAGCTTCTCGAATCGTTGGCGGTATCTTGGTGAAGCTGTGTTCGAAGATTTGTGAAGACGGCAATGGTTGTGCAAGTAAAATCCTTGTCAAGCTGATGTACGAATCTTGCAAAAACTTTGGTACTCAAGGGGTACTGCTTGCTGGTGTCACGTATCTGCAAGCACTGCGATCCTGAAAAAGCAAAAGCCCCCAAACTAACAGAGCGCCCTCCGGAACCGGTTCCTCGGGAAGGGATTTCAGAAGGCAACGCTAAACTAAGACGAAAAAGATCATCCGAAGTAACAGTGGGCTGAGCAAGGAGCCGGTCGGCCAACTCCTCAGCCGAAAGACGCTTGCCACCGGTCTCGTCATCCCTGAATGAAGGAGTCATCACGCCGGCAGCTTCAGAATCTGGTCACTGAAACTCCAGAGGCCGGATGCGGCTCCAAACACTTCCAGCACAGGTGGCGGCCTCGGCGACAGCGCTTACCGGGTTTGGCGAACCCGCAGCCCTTGGTGTTAAAGCTGAAACACAGCGGCTTTCCAGCCGAATCCTGAGAGTGGCAACCCTGCGGGACAGACCACTTCTTGGCTCCTGAGTCACTGGGTTTCTCCGCGCCGGGAGTGTCCTTGCGAATCTTCAGGGCTTTCTGATTTTTGTCCTTGCCGCCCCCTTTCCCGTCCTTGCTGGGCGGGCTGTTGGGCACATGCGGAGCTGGAGGCGGAGGCACGGATCGCATCAGCGGAAGCAGGTAGCACTGAACCTGCGTGTGATCCTTCCACTTTGCAAGCGAGACCTCAAAGGGGTACGAGCCGTCTGAGCGCATGGACAGTGAGCCACGCGTGTCCTCGGCGATCCTCGTCCACAGGAACTTGTCGGCTTCACGAAGCTGAGCAATCGAAACTCGCTGATGGCCGGATGGCTGGGTACGCATGTGCACCTGCAGCAACTGATCATGCCAAGATTCGAGGTACTCGTAACGGCAGACTCGGGCCAATTCGAAAGCCAAACTCCGCCGCTGAAGTGCCAGTTTAACGGCGTATTCGCCTATGGTACTGCAGGAGGGCTCAGCTGAGCGTTTCACGAGCTTGAGGTTCCCGGCGCTGTCGAAGCTGACCGATTGATCGGTTTTGTCAGATGTGATTTCCAAAGCTCGGCTCGTGAGGCGATCCCACGGAATCCAAAGCAAGGACTGATCAGAAACCATCTGAGCAACCAAGTCTTGCAGCTTATGGGAAGGCTCAATGTCGGATGTCCAGTGAATGCCCACAAGTCTCTTCTGAAGAGCAGCGAGGCGTTGTGTGCGCTCGGCCAAAGGCATCCGAACAGGTTCAGAAGCATCTGTGCGCTCGACCTTGCCACGCATCTCAGCGAGAGCCTGAGTGGTGCTTTCGAACCACAAGCGGCGAGCAATGCTCAGAAGCCCGTCGTCCGGAGCTGAGCCCAAAGCACGTTTCAGCATGCTGATGAGTGGACCCTCATCGGTCGTTCCAGCTTGAAGAGGCCCGATGAAGGCGAGGGCTCCGAAGGTGTCCACATTGATGGCCGCCAGTTTGGCCAGGGTCTCCTCGGGAAAGTTGAGCTCGAGTGCCCTGGCCTTGAAGGCCGCTTTGCTGTCGAGGCTGGACATGATTCACACGGCAGCCGGCTTGAACAAAACTGCATACATGTGGACAAAAGCTGTAGAGACTCCAGACGTTCGCAGATTACGCAATGCACCACACAGCGAGAAGGAGCGCCCAGGACGGTGCCGGATACCGGGGATGCAGAAAACAGCTTGTAAGAAAACATTGTTCCAAGGCGTCCAACGGCTTGGGGTTAAGGTGCCCCGAGTACCGCCAGCGCAGAGGTAGTTGCTCATAGACCCGGCTTGGCACCACCCTTGAGACCACTGCAGGCTGGGAGAGAAATTTCTCCGATTACCTGGGTCTTTCGGCTGCTCGTGCTGAAGAGGCTTTCTTTTGCGAGAATAGCAATACGTGCGCCAGCTATTTAACTGGCTCGGTGGATTTGGCTGCACCGCTTACAAACAAGCAGATCAGAGGCCGGTACGGCCTTGTCCAGCTCGTCAAAATTGCGGGTGATGGGTCGGCCACACAAAAATTTGGCACCTTCAGCAGCCTGTATATGCACTGTACGACTGTAAATGTGCATCTTGCTGTATACAGAAGAGATCTGAGCAGCGTTCAAGCCTTCGTCCAGGGGGACTCCACCGGCTCGGGCCTCCAGATCCTCTGGGCTGATGTCGGAATCACCAGCTTCGGAATCGGAGACATAGGGGTCCTGCTCGAGGAGTTTCTCCTGCAGCTGAGGACCTGACTCAGCCTGAACCATGACAGCTAAACGCATCACGCGACTGTCATCAGGCTTAAAGTGGCCGGAACGGATGGCTTTCAGGATATCCTCGAAAATCTTCTTATTTTCCACGGAGCTTTGCTTTATTTCTAAAGTAAGATTCCAATCACAGTATTCCCAAGCTATATGGGAAAATCAAAGTATATAAAGAATAAGAAAATTGCTCAAGCAGATGTGGCGCTTTTTCCTTCCGGCAAAGCCGAAGGGGGAAGTCGTGACATCCCCGCACCGATCGATGGCGAACACGAGGATCGCCAACGAACACCCCGGGAGTGGAGGGAGGGACAAAATTTTCCGGCCCTTTGGCCAGGGAGTAGCTACCCACCCATCCCACCCCTGTCTCGAGGCGGCGCGGGAAATAAAAGAGATGAACTCAGACGATTCAAAGCATGCATTCATGCCATGAAATGTGGTTCAAAATAAAGCAAAGGCGTTTTGAAAACTTCGCAGTAATTTTCAAAACTCTCCTAGGAAAATAAAGCTAATAGAGGCAAGCCTCATGTGTCGCTTATTTTCCACGGAGCTTTGCTTTATTTCTAAAGTAAGATTCCAATCACAGTATTCCCAAGCTATATGGGAAAATCAAAGTATATAAAGAATAAGAAAATTGCTCAAGCAGATGTGGCGCTTTTTCCTTCCGGCAAAGCCGAAGGGGGAAGTCGTGACATCCCCGCACCGATCGATGGCGAACACGAGGATCGCCAACGAACACCCCATTCACTTAAGAAGGAGATCAATCGTGGCATTGCCTTTGATCGGGCATCGAGGCGACACTCTGCACACCTGCCCCCTGACTGGAAAGATTGACTTAGCTCTCGAAGGAGGATCGGCCGGGTTACTTGCACTTGGAACGCGGCTAAACCAAGGGAGCATCGCCTCAGCGTCGCAGCTCTCAAAGATCAGCAAGAGTTGCCTCCACAAAGGGTCTTTCGAAGAGCCTTTCACCAAAGAGGCCAACACTCCGGAGTGATCCACATACATGGTCACCCTTTGCATGTCCAAGTGCTTTGCCCACGCTTCTCTCGCACATACCACTGCATACATCTCAACTGGGCCTATCAAATGCCTTTTCCCGAGAGCCTCCCAGCTCTGTACAACGCTCAAAGGGATAGCACATGCAAAGAAGAAAGTGCACCACGCGCCGTTGTCGAAATGGTACAAGACTCCTCCGACAGTGGCGGGGTGAGTTTCATTCGTCGGCTCGTACGCTCCATCTGTGAAAATCACAGAACGACGAGACCCTACACAAGCCGGGACTATCCTAGGGGTACCCCCAAGAACCCGGGACCTAAGATTACAAAGGGCCTGCACAGCCGTGGCATCAAGGGTTTTGGCCTGAGAACTCATCGTGCACGCCCTAAGGTCGGCCAGTGCCAATCTGCCCAATCGCCCGTGCAGCTGACCCTCGGCAAACTGGAGGCGACCGAACAAAGACGGCAGGGTCTTCGGATCAAGATGGCCCGCACTCAAGACGGAGTCCACCGCCTCAGCGATGGCAGTAGCACGTTCGGGCTTATTCCCAATCTTAACTACCCCAAAGCTGCCAAGGTCAACCCGAACGCCTAGTAGCTCAGCCTCATGGCTGAAGGGAAGATCCTTGTCTTCCGCCCAGGCGAAACCCAGCAGGTCCAACGCGGCTCTGACAGTCGACTGCGTGTTGTTACAAAGCGGCAAGACCTCTAAAACCGGGTAATCGTCGAAGTAGTTGCAGGCGAGCACCTGCAAGGCAACCAGAACCCTCTGGAGCAATCTCGCAACGCGATTGAATGAAACCACCGACGAGGTGGCCCCAAACAGAAGGGTTCGGCTCTCGAAGCCAAACGGAAGCCTCGAGACCGGGTCCTTGATGGCCACTATGCTCAGACAGCGGTCTCGTGGAGAAACCGCCAACTGTTTATAAGCACTCTTCAAGTCCACTGTTTTCAAGCTTGGCTGAAGCGCATCGGGTTTCAGGGCCCTCCAGAAAGAATGCACCGGAAAGCGAAGATGGTCGCCGTCCGACAAAGGGATGCTCACCTCGCCTTTTGCAATGAAGATCTTAAAGAGGGTGATCGCAAGCCAGACCAATTCATCAAGGGCCCTCAAAGAAATCCGATCGGAAACAGCATAGGCGCAGTTTACAGAGTTCTCGGCCAAATCGTCTATCGACCGCGTCTTGGCTTTTTGCACAATGCCGAACCTCCGCACTGGAAGCCAGCCTTCTGGATGACGGGCCTGCAGCTCGTCCCACGAGTAAGGTCCGGTTAGCCACTCCTTGACTAGCATCTCTTGCTGTGTGGAATCCCACACTTCCCGAGCTAAATCATCCACCTCCGCGTTCGCCACCTTCGCCCACAGCGCAGGCCTAAGGAATTTAGCATGCTGCACAAGCTCTGCCCTTGTCATCAGAGCCGGTTTTCTATCCACATCGAAGATGCCAGAAGGACTCGACTCCCCCACTAAGGGAAACCCATGCTTAAGGTGTTCGAAGACTTCAGTGTCAGGCCAACCGAAAGACGATGCAATTTTTTCCAAAAGCAAAATGTTCTTGCCCTTCATAACAGAAGCCACACCAGGATCCATGGCAGCATGCAGGTTTGCTTCGGCACCGGCCAAATCGCGTTTCCAAGAAGTCCACTGCTGGAGCAAATTCAGACGGTGCTTCATCACACCAACCGGGCCCTCTTTCAAGGTAAAAGCCAACGCTCTCAACATGAAGTCTGGGACTGCCACGCACAAGTCGAAGGGATGATCGATATGCAATGCCTGGGCCACAAACTCTTGTTCCGTGCGGTAAATGCCAAAGGTAACTGCTGAAGGCACACCTGACAGGCTCCGACCTGTTTCGCACCGACGACCCCCCGATCACACACAACGCGAAGAAGGCGGGAGCCAGGAGGGATGGACCCTACGGCACATGTGAGATTGCCTTTATTATCCAAAGGAAGGGGCCACGGGAACTCACGGACCGTGGCCTGGCACTTAAACTCGGCGATCTGCGGCTGGAATTTTGACAATCGAGGCTGCCGCCCAGCGGCTGCTACGGCAGAATGCCGCGAACTCTGCAGAGGAAGAGCGTGCTCAAGTAAGAGGCCAGACTGGCCAACCGCCAGCTGCAGGAGGCCAGCAAACACATCACAGAACTTGGTTGTGTACAAGGCATCTGGTGCAAGCGAGCCCGCAGCGTGGGGCCCGGGGCGACAACGACATGCTGGCACCGGCATGCCAGCCAGCGCGGCCTGGGTTGTGCACAGACGCATTTTGACCGGACTGGGAGCCCCGTAGCAACCTGCACAGAAGTCTACGCAATGGAGGTTGTCGGGAAAGTCGAGCTGTTTCCACAGGGCTGACGCCAGGGGATGCAAGACACTCCAATGCGAATCAGATGCAAGCAAGAGTTTGGCGATGCGAATGGTTTGCCCGGCGCTAAAAGTAGCCTTAAAACAATCCTTGGTCGCAGGAAAGAAATGCACGTGAAAAGGGGCATCGTGGCTGATGACAGTCTGCACAAAGGAGAAACCCGACTCAGTTTCAATGTCCACAGGGACAAGGTGAGTGTGCACTCGCCCAGCGGGGCGAGAATGTTCAAGCGCTATGATTTGAAATCCGTCCCGCCGCACCCGAGCCGGCAGCAATCCGGACCCACACTTTATCTCGACATAGAGAGCAGAACCGGGCTTTAAGGGACTAGCAGGGTCGCTCACAGGTTCCTTAGGGTCAACGGCGGGGACAACCGAAGCGGGCAAGGGCCTAAGCGACTCCTGAGCTGCGGGGGAGGTCAAGGATGGCGGCTGACGAGCACACGCTTCAGCAGGCGCCAACCGCGCGCCCTCGGGCGCGCATTCCGGAACATCAACATGACACTCGCGGAGAAAGTCAAGATGTTCCTTGCACAGCGATTCGACATGACGGATGGTGAATGCAACCAGCAAGACTCTACGGCCCTGCCACGCCTCGGTGTAGTGCCAATTGTGTCTGGCATTGAATCGGACAGGGCCCTTAGCAACCTGCAAGCGAGAGCCTCGTGCCCCATTAAGGTCGGATACATCTCGACCGTTTTCATGCTCCACAAAGATAGCTCCACCTGAGAAGTCAGTCAGTGCAATCGCCAAGTTATGCAAGTTGGCATTCCACTGATCTCGATGGCGCTCAGTGCGAACATCCTCAAATATATTTATCGAAGAAAACTTAAACCCCGGTGCACGCTGTCTCACAAACCTTGCAAAGACTTTGAGCGCCTCCGGGTTGGCTGAGGCATTGGCCTTCAGGCCTACATTACCACCAAGAACATACGCTCCCGTGGCATAAGATTTCGAAGTTGGGAGAGGTGCATCGGCACCCCTCTTCAAGGCATCCGAAGGAAGACCATCGAAAACCCGCAGAACATCGGCGGCACTCACATGACCCTCGTCAAGTGAAGAACCTCTCTGCGACTGTGCCCCATCACGGGGCCTCGGGGACCTGCTGCGTGCGGCCTCCACCACACCTGGTGATGGCCTGGAGATGGCACTGTGAGAGCCAACGTTGTGCATGTGATGATCCTCTCGATCAACACCTGACTGCAGACGACACTCCACACCACTCGGAGGAGAGCCGCCGGCGCATGCATTGCTCGGCCGATGAACTCCCTCTAGGAGATCATCCACCTGTGAGGCTCCCGCTGCCGGCTGATGCACACTCTCTGGAGCACCGGCCATCAGCGACGCACCCTCGTGACCCGCTAGTCACGAGCCACCCTGAGCCCGCTTTGGGCACTGCGCTGCACCATGGTTGTGAGCACCGCACTTAGGCACTGCGCAAATGTGCAGGCCTTTCTCGCACTTCTGCCCTTTGGTAGGGCATCCTCCCAGATTGAATGCAAAACAGATTGGGTCACCACGATTGGTGTGAGACCTGCAGCCCTCCAGGCCGGCGGGCAACCTTGTCATGAACCTCTGCTTACCTTTCTTTCCTTTGCCTCCACCTTTGTTGTAAGGAGAAGGCCTCTCCCACTTGGGAGCATCCGGCTTCTGGGGAACATCCTTTAGGGCAGGGGCCGGAAAAGGTTGCAATAAACATGACACTTCGTTCATGTACATCGCATCTGGCAGAAGTGTGTCCAACGGGCGACCCGATGCGACGGTCTGCACTCCTGCCCTGGTCTTATCACGAAGCTCGGCAAACAGCTGCCGATCCGCCGACTCAAGTTGCTTCCAAGTGGGCCTGGCAAAATGCTCCGCAGGCGCTTGCATGCGGGCCTTCATCAAGCGTTGAGTCCACTTATCAGCAACACTGAACTCGATCAGGTTCGCCTGATCCATGGCCAAAGCTCTCCTGGTGAGAGCCTGCTGAACAAGAATCTCCGATGAAGTATCCGCAACCAGATCAGGCTGTTTGTGCTCGATCCGAAGCTTTCCCGAAGACTCCTCAACAGTGAACCTGACATCGCGTTTCTTCTCGCCAGCCAGTTCAGCTTCCTTGGACACACACCGGTCCCACGGAATGTACCTCAGCTCATTTGCCTCATAGGAAGCCACAGCAAGATCAACAAGTGCATCGGCAGGCTCCAGAGGCCCTTTCAGTGAAATCCCAACAAGCTTCTTGGCCTGCCGCTCGTACCGCTCCGACCTCTCAGGCTGAGACAAAGGCCGGACGGTCGACTCTGGGTCGGCCTTCTCAATCCTCTGCTTCATTTCCGCGGTCACTATGGCAAAAGCTTCATTGTAGACCGCACGCCAATTAGCCTTGTCTGCAATTGTCAAGTCTCGCTTCAAAATGTCTTTCAACACCTGCATCAACGGCCCCTCGTCAGTCTGGCCAGGTGTGAAAGAAGAAATGAACGCCAGCCTCCTCAAGTTTCCCACCTCTGGCAGGATTTTCTGAACGTCATCTTCTGCGAAACCCACGACACTCAATCGCGACTGCAGAACCGATTGACTCTCAGAGTAGTTAGCCATCGTCAGGAGCAGGAACCGAGCTAGTGAAACTCCTACAAATCGCTGAAAGTTCTCAGAACACTCCCGAATCCGCACCTCGTGGCCTGAGCTCTGACTTACCAGGTTCAAGCACAGACTTCCTAAGACTGAGCCGACTCCTCATGAACGCGATGCTTGCTTCTGACTGATGCATGTCACTCGAAAACTACAAATCGCACACACTCCTGGAAGCACTCAGCCTAAGCGCGCAACGCTCAGAAACTCAAAAACTCCTTTTCACTGCACTCCTCAGCATCACTTCTTAGGTGGGCAACAGCTTCTACACAGCGGAAACAAAATTCGAGGGACGGAAGACAACCTCTCATACCTGGTCGAGATGTTTCTCCCACATCTGAACTTGTCGCCTTCTTCGGATGCGACAGCATGGATGAAACGGCTGTCTCTGTTCCTGAACAAAGGGACTGCTTCAAGCTCGGCACGCAAGCCTGCATCGGGCTCCCATTGCCTTCCCAACTCGTCGGTGGCCGCCTCCGCAGCTACATGATCGACATCCTCGGCATCCTCGCTGGCCTCGGAAGAAGATTCCGTCAAAACCTCATCAGGAGGAATGGGCATCCCTTCTGGATCTTCAAAGCGCTTCACGAAGTAACCGGACCTGGTGGCGTCCGGCATGAACCTTTCGCGCGACACTTCGAGCAGGACCCCTTGCAGCTGGCGCACAGGAGCAGACATGTTGTCTCTCCCATAGATGAGCTCGGTCCCGTCACGGCCCCGGGCGTGGTAGCCTAGGGCCGCTCTCACCTCGCGGGGTAGTCCGAATTTGGCGCTCCAACTCAAGGTCGTTGCCTTGAGACTATGCGTCCCAAGCGGTTCAACGGAAGACCTGTCACAACCCGCACGGATCAAGAGTGACTTCATCCATTTCGTGGCACTCGCCACCGCCAGCGGCGATGTTTGCCACCCTCCGCCAGAGAGCGGGCTCGGAAGCAAGGGCTTGCCCGACCCCAAAGGAGGCCCATGCTCCTTATAGAACTCAAACCACTTGACACCCCAGGGCACCTCACCTATACCTTGGATGGGAGCAAACATGTGCAAATACCTGACCTTTCTTTCCAGTGAGAACGAAGTCTTGCTTCGCTCGACAGCGGACTCCAGGTATCCGACTGTGCCGTCCGGCGTATCGCTTAAGTCACAAGTCATTGCACCTGCAGCTTGGGCATCCGAGTACCTCGCTCGTGCATACAAGGTCCACACGAAGAAGCCAGCAGCGACCCGGTCTGAAGGCTCGAGCACGATCGAGCCGGAAGCGATAGCCTCCAACTTCCGCACATGATCAACTTTGAGCGACGGCTTTTGCCGAGTCTTCCTCTTTTCAAGATACAGCTTCGACGACAGCCCACGGACCCTGGGGCTGAAGACCTCATCACTCACCTTCAAGCTCACAGTGAACTTTGCAAAAGCAAGGCTGCTCAAGAAACTCCTGGCGAAAGTGGGCGCCTCGTGAGATGCATAATCCTGTAGGAAAGCATAGATCCCTGCTTCAGTGACAGGGAAAGGAATGACCTGGCAACTTCGGCAGTGCTTGATGTACCTGGCAAGGGGCCCAGCACGGCCCGAGATCGTGACGCTCGCCTTCTGAGAAAACACATCTTGCAAGGAAGACTTCAAGTCAGAGTCTCGCCCGTTCTCCTTATCTAGCCGAATCGAAAGAGAAAGACCGAAATCGTCAGGGAACCTTTCAAGAATCCCTAGCCACTTTGCCAAAGCTGCTTCCCTCGCCTCAGAGAGTTTCTGATCCCAGCTTTGTCCCGGCACACTCGGAATCTTCACTCCCGCAAGCCTGAGTGACTCAAGCTTTCCCGAAGACGACTTCACCGGCCCTGCAGGACCGGCCGGCCCCACTGGCGCTGACACAATGCATCCCCCTTTGGCGAAAGGCGAGGGCAAAGCAGGCATGTCAAGAAATGCAGAAGCTATTTCCCACGGCATCCTAACTGTGCTTCCAAGCCCCCGGGATGCAACCCGCGTGGCCGACACATGGTGACCCTCATAAGCCCCATGCACGCGAGCCTTCTTGAGGCTACTTTCAAGAGAGTCATCCCCTGACATGCTGGCTGCAAACTCGGCCTTGTCAGGCCAGCATGGCAAACGCTACACCCCACTACAAAATTTTCCGGCCCTTTGGCCAGGGAGTAGCTACCCACCCATCCCACCCCTGTCTCGAGGCGGCGCGGGAAATAAAAGAGATGAACTCAGACGATTCAAAGCATGCATTCATGCCATGAAATGTGGTTCAAAATAAAGCAAAGGCGTTTTGAAAACTTCGCAGTAATTTTCAAAACTCTCCTAGGAAAATAAAGCTAATAGAGGCAAGCCTCATGTGTCGCATCAAGCGGCACAGCTCGTCACGGCTGTAGGTCAGAGGGGACCGGGAATCAGGGTCCAAGTGGTGTCCTGCAATGCGGCGGTCCTCCAAAGAAACGCCTCCGAATTTGGCTAGCCAGCTAAGAAAAGTGGCCTTCATACTGTGACTGCTGATGCGGGACTCCGAAGGAATGTCAGACTGGCTACGAGGAACTCACGCAGGTACATGGTAAGCTCACCAGTAGACATGCGACGCTCCAACCAAGACTGCGAGGCTTCGCTGAATGCAGGCAGTGACGGATTGAGGCCGAGGCCAGCATCAGTTCGGGCTTCCATCCACAGCGGCGCCCAAATCGTGGGGTACACGAAAGATCCCAGGCAGAGCAGCGGCAGAAGTATGGTCTTCCGTTCGCCAGTACCAGTCTTGTAAGATGCAGACGATGCTTCCAAAAGATGCACGGTTCCCGCACTCTGAAGCTCCAAAGATTTGAGGTGGATTGTATCCGAAAAGCGAGAACAGCTTCCCACACAGAAAAGAATGTGCCCAGCAATCACACGCCAATGAGGATACGGAGGCTTCACCACAATCCTTTCCAGAGCCCGAATCATTGGAACTGACAATGGTGAGGCCTGGACCAGCGGCTTCTTAGTGGCCGCCAACGCTGCAGCAGCTCCTCGCACACGGCCTGACAAAGGAGATTGGCCTGCAAGTTTTGCGAAACCCAGCAGCGCTGACAGAAAATTCCAGCTTTCAAGAAAGGCCTTGGCCGATGTAGGAGCTCCGTGGGCCTGCAAGTCCTGGATATATGCATAGACAGCCGCCTCGCTCGCTCGAAAGGGCGAGCCAGAATCGAACATCAAGCAAAACTCGGCAAACTTCCAGAAAGAGGAAGCTCGTTTGGCCAATGTTGCAGTGCTCTTTGTAGCGAACGTGTCAGCAAAGGACTTCTGAAGTCTCTCAGGGTCAGACAAGATAGCGGCCTTGCCGATGAGAAGCCGCCCCAGCTCCGATGCAGCAGGATCAAGTAAAGTCAGGGTCTTAATCTTACGTAAAGCCTCAAAACGCACAGAATCATCCGACCGAATCAGCGCAGCAAAACGAGCCCGCTGCCGAGCAAAGGCCTGAGTGGCCGAGGGCAAAGCATCTTGCGGAGCCTGCTGTATCGCCGAACTGACACCGGCAGCAAGCTGAGGCGGTGGGCTTGGGAGGGGAACCAAGGGTGCAGGAGGCCTAGGGGACCCAAAGACTAGACCAAAAACCCCGTGATCCCACGGCATCTGAATGCATCCGGAGCGGGAGTCACACAATTGTGTATGCGAGATTAGATCGCCAAGATCATCAAGGCCTCGTTTCGTCATGACTGATCACACACACTAGTCTAGTTCGTCGAGGCGGGAGACCTCGAGCTGCGATGCTACCACACAAAGCTGGTGACCTAAGTTCTGAAGCTCGGCCTGCAAAGCGGAAGTGAAGCGCTCCCGCCAACGCAAAAGAAGCTGTAACTCAGGCTCCAAGCGATTGACTGAGTCCACAATCTGGGTAACCACGTTGTTAAGAGATGCTACTTCAGATCGAAGACTGACCCCTGGCTGTGTCGAAGAAAAGCAATGCTTGATTACTGCGTTGTCTTGTTCCAGCGCCTCCACACGAAGCACTGTAGCGTTAAGCCGTCTTTGCACTTCACGCAGCTCAGAAATCTGCGTTTCAAGAGTGGACACACGACGCTCAATGCAGAACAGACGGAAGTCTGCAGCTCGCAGAAGCTCAACGGCCTCCTCGATGCTATGGCCAGGAGCCAAGTCCATGTACCCCCCTTTCGGGGTAAAAGCTCCCCCCCCGGACGAGTGGAGAGGTGAAAATTTTAGCAAAGCTCTGCACAGTGTATGCTAATGTTGACTCAGTTGTCACTCGACTGCAAGTGTGCACTGAGCCATGCTGTGTTGAGCGGCGCGGGTACCGACATATGGTTCAACTTCAATCAACAAGCGTAGTCAGAAAGCATGTTGTTTGAGCGAAGTTGTGAGTTGATCTCAAATTGGTTTCAAAGAAATTGTTGTAGAAATGGTTGTGAGTCAAAAGCTCACTTCAAACATGCAATAAGCAGACGATAAATAATTAATCATTGCGCTGCTGGACCGGCAGCTATGAAAACAGAAAAGACAACTTAGTCGCTCCGCGAAATCGCCTTCAAGGTATCAAAGACCTTGGTGGTTGGCGTAACCACGGTGATCTTCTGCCCCGCCTGCACAGCAAATCGGTGGCCGCACACATTGTAGGCCAAGACAAGGAGGACACAAAACCATTCAACCACCAGGCCCTGGTGTACAACGGTGGATGCCCGTTTGGGCAGCCGTATAAAGTAGACTCCAGGATGATGCGTGCCATCAGCCGCAATCCTCTGCGCACGCCTTGCGGGCGTGTCCGCTGCCAGCTCCCCAATGGTGATCGGACACGGGGAGGAGCCTGTTGCAGGGAGCAGAAGATTGGACTGGGGGTATCGAATGGCTGTTATCAACAGATAAAGATCTGCCAATAACCGTGTAGAGGCAACCAGGGCCAGATTCAGGCATACCCCATTGATGGGCTCTAGGCCTTTATAGTATGGGCCGGAGCAAGTATTGCTCCGACTGCCGACAGGCGATTGAGATAGCACAAGGGCGTCTCACTGTGAGACGTGGACTGGTGGAGAAAGTCCACTGCGATGGCTGCGGGGGTAAGGCGGGCGGGTTGTGGACACACCTCGTCGCCCACCCGCGTTATGCCGGAATAAGGAATAAAGTGAGTCTGGCCCTGGTAACTAAGGTCGCCAAAATCCTGTACCAGTCCCACCTCTACAGGGGCCTCCACCCCAAACAGGCATTCCGAAATAGACTGGCAAACCGTCAGACAGGTGCCTACTGGGGGTTCCGTTCCCTGACGGCCGCAATAACGATGTCCAAGGCTTGACCATTTGACTGTATGGAGCGGCCCGCCAGGCGAGGTGGAATGCACAAGGCCACGGAGCGCGTGGGCCATGCGCCCCGGAGGGTAGGGTTGAGGGGCAAGCTGAGCAAGGCCAACAGGCTTCGCAGTGAGGCGCGCCAAAGTATTGAGCTGCACATCTCCTTTGCCTCTGCCCGTTGTCGCGGATCGCCGGTGCGTATGACTAGCTGGCATTCGGCATTGGCCAAGATGGCGGCCGAGGCCGGTTGGCCTTCTTGCTGCCCTTCATCAATAACGATGACGTGGGCGTTCCGGAGAAAATCCTTTACTTCACTATAGGAAGAGTATCTCAATTGAAGCGCACCCGAGCCTTGTGTGAGCAGCAGCATACGCGCGCTGCTGATGGACGGGGAGGTGAGCCGCGTGTCTCGCCCTCGCGTGTCCGGCCGGGTCGTAGCAATTTCTCCCAAGCCTGCAGTCATGTGTTCCGCCGCCTCCGTAAACGGCACATGATCGAAGTCCGGCTCGATCATTTCAGCATCGCCAGAGACGCGCCGAACCACGAGCAGTGGACGCAACCACTCAGGCGCATCCGCAAGAAGATTCGTGGCAATGCGAACGACGGCGATGAGGGCAGAGTGCTGCTGAGCGGTCCAGAGCACATTCTGCTCCAACACAGCGTCAATGCAGACAAGCGCACACCACAAAGAGAAGGTTTTGGAGGAACCAGCACAACCAAGGACGCCCAGCGAACTGCGTTTGGTGGCGCGCGCCGCCAGGATTGCAGCGATGTGCCCGACAAGGAGGCCATCCGGGTTGGCCAGCAGACCGGCGATGTGTCGACAGAAGGCCGCTCCCATGAGAGCGGCCAAGGTGTGAAGCTCTTCAGGAAGCAGAGCGGCATTAACTCGCCAGTCGCTACGGAAGGCATCCCGCGGGCTAGCCTGTTCGGCCCGAAGGCGAAGGGCGAGAATTTTTCCCGAAGTGTCACACACTGCGTCTTGGTCATATCCGGGGTGGGCGGGAAGCTCGGAGCCATCGCCGCAGCCTCGACTGCCTGCAGGAAGGTGAGCACCAGGTGTGTCTCGGCTCCAAAGTGACACTGAGGGCGAGACGCCGGCTGGGTGTGAGGCCGAATGGGCAGGCCGATGGCAAGCGGTACCCTGGCTGCGGGCATTTTCAACACCTGCAAAAAAACGTCAAGTGCCCCTCCCACCTCGATATAGGAGAGGCTGTGAAGCGAAAGCTCCCACTGGTGATCACCCCCGGGGATGGGCTCGGATCCCAAGAAGGTAGGCCATCGACTGACCAGCAAAAGGGCTGTCGTGGGATTGAGGCGGTTGTAACGTCTTTGTGCCTTCCGCTTCTCGCGCGTGTTACCATTGACACGCGAGGGAACCACCGAATCCACGAAAACAGCAAGCCGCAGCAAGCAGCCTTCCGACGGGGGACGGCTGCCATTCTGGCGGTGAGAAAACCAACCCGTGCTCGACTGGGTCGACGGAGCAGTGCGACAAGATAAGCCAAGCACGTATGTGCCAAAGCTGAGACAGTCTTCCACTCGCAGGACGACACGGAGCGGCTTCATGTATGTCTGCTTAGTGTCATTGTGCGGCATTCGCCTGTTCTCTTGTCCAGTGTCCTCCAGCGCCCCTCCTTGACTGTAGACATGAAAGTGTAGAAAGTCCACCACACGTTCAAGAGACAACTCCCCCAGCGCTTGCTGGACCGGTGCGGGAAGCGGGAGGTTTACAAGCCGCTCGTTCTCATAACATCGGAGTCGCACCTGCTGGATAATCCAGTCCCGAACCGCTCCCGTACATTGCGTCAGGGTGCTAGCCTTGTGTGGGCAGTCTGCTGCCTCTTTCTATCTTTTAGCTAAAAAGATATACTGGGATTTGAATGGGATTTGAATGGGATATGAATGGGATTGGGAATGCCACAATAATCCAAACCAATTTTGGCGATGGGTTTTGAATGAGAAAATATATCTGAAACAAATGCAATTGGGCATGCACCAAAAAAGGGAAACAAATGTAAAAAAAATGGGATATAGCCATTATCACAAAAAGAATGCATTGACAGTGGCAAAAAAGTGCAAATAAAATGCGATGAAAATGGGAATATTATTAGCAAATATTAATATAATCGTAATATTCTATTATCATTATCAGCATTGCTCATTCGTATTCTCATTATTGTTACTATCATTATTCACTATTAGAAATATTAGTAAATACAATATTATCACTGCTAAATTATTTATTATAGTATCATTTGCAGACAAGAGCACACAGACCCACACGAACACTGAGACACAAACAGACACAAACAGAGACACAGACACAAACACACATGCATTGCCTGATGTACTGAACTGCGACAGTAGCCGCTACAGCGCTATAAGCTGCAGCACATGGGCAGCCGAGACATTGAGAATCTGGACAAACGAAAGCCAACATATATGACATTGCAAAATGCCAAAACGTCTAAATGCGATAGAAATCTTTGACCTGAGCCCTCACCACAGCAAGTAGCAAGCACGACCGCGCAACTTCGTTTCAGACGTCCAACTTTCACGCTTCTCGACTTGCTTTGCGTCTAAGCACCGAGACCGAGACCCAGCACACAGCTTCATTTGACCCTAGGCCCTAGGTCTAGCCTAGCAGCCCTACAGCAGCCTGGACCTTCACGGTTTCCGTCCAAACACAAGACACGAAGTCACTGGGACTCGGGTTTAAGGTGCGCAGCAAGGCAAGGAAATGCACAACGGGCCTTCGGCCGAAAGCTTTTTGCAAAAGTGAAAGCTCAGCATCGCGACAACACAGCACTGCCCTGAGTGGGGATCTCAATCTGTTAGTGCGTCTAACTCAGAATGAACCAATATGACACCAGCATGCGGCGACCGGATCAAGAGTTTCTTGATGCAAATGCTGAGACTTTCAGGGACTTAGGCCTGACAAATCAGGCACGCGGATCACTCTGCTCTGCATGGGATCCCGGAAAACTCACACACGGAGGCTCTGCAGGGCCTTCAGCTAGACTTCGCATCTTTGAGGAAATCTTCGCAACTGGCAAGAAGCGCAGGGAAAATCTGGTGTCGGCGCTTCTTCGCTTCGGCAATTGTCTCCTGGATGAGATCGGGTGCACTCGACTTCAGCTTGCTGGAAGTCAAGCACGTGAACAGAACTTGCTCTGTTTGCAGCAGCCTGACGGATTCGACCTCGGCTTGCAACTCCTTCGAAGTGGATTGCATCATCGCGTCCGCACCAAAGACACCGTACATCTTCAGGTGGGTGTCCATCTGATTGCAAACCTGCTTAGCCGCTTAGCTCAACCATGTATGCCGTATGCATTTACATTAGCAGTCACTAGCAATTAGCAGTAATTAGCATTGAATCTGCACGCAACATGTGCCGGATGTGCCAACGGTGTGTAGCAGCGTAGCACAGGCAAGGAGGTTTGGATTGTTCAATGTGCCCCAAGCGGGCCAGGGCCCAAGGCTGAAGTCGTGCGCTCATATTATTAGCGGAGATTGGCACATCAACATGTTCTGAGGCCCCTGTGCCAGATAATAGCAGCAATAGCAATCATGGCCCAAAACCCTTGTCAAGGCCCTTGGCCCTTGAGGCCCTTGCAGTAATTGTCGAAAATAGTTGTTATGAGCTATCTGGATAATCTAGCTGCCTAGTCTAGCTGCAGCTTGCCATAGATGTTTGGTTCCCCATCTGCACGTCGGCATAAAAGGTTGCTGCAACTTTGTGTGTACAGTACAGTGAAACCCTGACGTTGTTTTAGCGGTTAGCTGGCTGTCCCTGCTTCCTGCTTTTGTGTTTGCATTCTCGGAACAGCTGCAAGGTAGGGAGTTAGTGTTCGGATACAT